GTTCTGACAGTATTAAAAAGTTTTGGTAGAATCATTAGAACACAGCTGAATGGCATAGCATGTGCCTTCAAATTGTTATTGCTTAATTTAGCAAGCCATTATGTAAACAACTTTTAAAAATAATTTGAAGGAAGTAAATGACAAACTCTCTGTAGAAATACCTGACATACAATTAGAGAAAGGTTTCCAAGTTGTCTATCATCTTTCACAGTATAGTCACTGACATAATAAAATGAAAATAATTTTAGTCAAACCTAGATCAGAAATGTCAATCCCTGGTATCTCAACACTGCCAGGTGACGTTATTTTCCACAAACACACAGCACAATGTTCAGTTAAATCACTTTTTATTATGTATTTCACATCCTGATTTCCTCTCAATCATCCTTTAATATGGAAACAGAAAAGAGTCATTAAACTGCTCTATTCCACACACCAACATTTCTGAAAAAAAAAGGCAGAATGGTAAGACAACTACTTTTAAGGATCATCATTTGCTCCCATCTGTTTTCACTTTTAATCAAAAATTGCAATCTTAAGGAAGTCTACGAAATGGTAGACTCATTTCTAGAGAAAAATATGTGGCCTACACTGAGGCAATAATCGCCCACCTAATTCTTTCTGGCAATGTTGTACGAATTTCACATAGTTTAAAACATCCACCTTACATCACAGAACAATTTTAATTTGAAAAAAATGTATTCTCTCATTCCAGATTACTTTTGTATCTATTTCTCTATTTCCTTAAGGAGAGAGAAACAGAGCAGCACATCTTCATGCATTAGGTGCTTATAAAGGAAATTTATCTTTCTACACTTGTAAGCAAATATTAGGAAAAAGTTTTTACAGGAACAGTGCAAAGGTCCTGTTTTATTAACAAATGTTTTTTGCTATAAGGCTCTAGCACAACTATAATAAAGAAAAGCGCAGCAGTGACAGCTACCATCTGGGGAGGATTGAATCAAGTTTCTGCCACTCCTTGCCAAACTGTAGGGTAACATTAGCCAGACATTTTGCTCACTTCTGCACTGCCCTACTCACACTGAGAGCTCACATCAGAGAGAAGCATGGATAAAATGGAAAGAAGAAACGAAATACTAGGATCAGGAGCAGAAGAGCTGACATTTCATGAGAAATTGTAAAATATCTAGAAAATTCCAAGTAATGTCAGCTTTTTTTAAGCAGGTACATTACTTCTTTCTGCAATGCTGCCTTGTGCAATATTCTGTTACTAATATTCTGTTTTCTTACTAAGTATATGCAGTGTTCACTGCTCATAGTGAGCAGGTTACCAAGACATTAACACCATTGCTGAATACGAAGGTAATATCAATAATCACTTGTATTTTGTTCTATATGCCATAAAATCACCAACTGTTTTCAGCAAGAACAATCACTGCTGAGATTACTACTAGCAGTATGAATCCAATGAATAGTCTCGCTAAATTACTAAATCTAAGCCTGAATTTAGTAACTAAATTAATAGTCCTCTCATCTGAAAATGTTCCCATTAAATATAGTCTGTCTGCAGCCATGTGAAGAAAGAGTAGACTTGGGTAAAAAACATGAAAAGCTAACCAATATTCAAAGTACACAAACTTAAATTACACATTTATTAATTCCTTTTGACATATTCAAATAAGAATCATTAAAAGGTATGTGCCTCATTAGCCACGAGGATGTATCAGTTACTGTTATTTTTTTTAAGTGTACTGTAATCACAGAATTGTCATAATGAAAGTAGGATGTCTACTGATTCCCAATACAAGGAATTAATATTTTGGGATGTCATGTATTATGTACAGTAGGGAGAGAAAACTGTATATATTAAGTTCTGGTCGATATTCTTAAACACTTTACATATACTTTATATTTTACCTTAAAAGGAAAAAATATGTCTCCAGAGGCTTTCCCTAAATAATTGTATCATCTATATCACATTCTAAAAAATAGCTAGGAGTAAGAGCTGGAAGGACCTCTTAAGGGATCACATATATCCCCTTGCAGGGGGACAAACAACCACATCACACAAATCCTTTCCTAAACTTGCCTTTAAAACTTTCCTGAGGTTTTTAATTTCCCTTCCAACGAGTCATAGCAAATAGCATAGCAAATATTTTCCCAAAGCTTCATGCTTCATGCTTCACTGCAAAAATATGGCTAATTTACATGCATTTGGTCTTACTTATTCGCTGTCCTCTAGATAAGTGGTTGTTTCTATTGCTTATTATTTAAACTTACTGTATGTCTAGATATCAATTATATTTTCTCTGGCTTTTGCCTCTCTCACCTCTCTAGTCTTCTCCCATATGATGAACTCCTCATTCCTTTGATCATCCTTTATATGACTTACTTTGCACTTGTCACAGTTTTAATTTATCTTTATCAAAGATGAGTAGCATGGTACACAACACCCAAGGTGAAGTCTCATTAATTCTACTGTTACTGGATTAAACCTCCACCTCTGGTGGAAATACCTTGAATCTGGGGTTATACTAGACTTTTTCGGGGCTTGGCACTTCAATAATTCACACTTCACCAAGCTTTCCAACTTATGAACCCCTAGCTTGTAGGAACTTGGTGCACTTATTTATAGAGGTAAAAAATCACATGGAGAGAACAAGACCCTTCTAAACAAGCATCAAACTACTTTACTAACATTAAACTCACCAGATAAAGAGGAGTTAGTCAGTAATGTTGAGCCACTGAAAATAATTAACAAATCAGATTTTTCTGGTGTTGCTTTATATAAATTATACCAACTGTTCTGCCTATAAAAGACATTACTTGTCAGTTATTTAATCTTTTTTTTTTAAATTAATTTATACTGTATGGTCTGTTAGCTTTCAGAGAAAGGCACTGTTAAGGAAACTGTACCATACAGGAAAGTTCCCTGTGCTCCTCACATCATCAGGCTCAACTGCTGCATAACCTGCTGACCCCCATAATTTTTCAGTGGTGAATGAGAAGGAGTTCAGCTTCTCCACATCATCAGGCTCAACTGCTGCATAATCTCCTGCTGACCCCCATAATTTTTCGGTGGGGAATGAGAAGGAGCTCAGCTTCTTCACAAGGTATAAATGGTATTTTCATGTATTTTATTAGACATTTTTCAAGGCATGTCACAGCTTGGTGTTCAACAACGGCAAAACCTAAACCAAGGCAAGTGCAAACAGCAAGGACATCTTTAACCAAAGTTAGAACTGAATTGGGTATGTTTTCAGCATATCTTCAGGGAACTTAAGTGCTGAGATCCTATTTTCTGGGTTTCAAATGGCACCAGTCAAAGAGAAATGACCAAGCTGTCACCTCAGCAAATCAAGAATATGCAATCCAGATTCCCCTGGATATCTCTCCCAGACCTAGGAGGCTAAATTATTCCAGAGTGGCACTTGCAGCACTTAAGAGCTTTGTTGTTTCTGCTCCTAAGGCTGTTTCTGCTGCAAAAGCACTAGCTTTTTAATACACTCCAGTGGAGCCATCAGTGCTGCACTCCTTTAGCAACAGATCAATAGCAAGTGGAAACTTCTCTCACTCTGTCCTAAGTGATTTAGACTAATAAAATGGAAAAGATCAGCGGTCCTGGGTTGTTTCACTACATTGTTCAGATAGAGCAGCACATAAAAAAAACAGCAGAATGAAACTGTAGCAAACCATATTTCACAGCCATTAGAAAATCAACCACATCCATTAGGAACTAGAAAACAAAACAGAAAAGAACTCGGAGACAGACGTTAGGGAACTACTTCATCTCCCATGTAAAGGCTGTCTCTCACAGTCACTCATCTTGCCTTATTTGGGTAGTACCTTGTCATGAATTGGTGTTGAAACCAAGTTCTACAGCTACGATAACACAAAGTACACGCAGCACAGTGAGCAGCGGCAGTACAGGCTGCTTCACTTGAAGCAAAGTGAGTTCTCAAGGGAGCTGACAGCTCCCCTTCACACTGCCAGGTGACACAAACCACTTCTCAGAGCACTCTTGCCTCAAGGAAAAAATGCCACAATGTACAGAGAGAAGGCTTTTCTCTGTAAGCTTTGCACTAATTGCAGTTTCTTGCTGTCCTATGACATTAGCTGTGGAATACCACCATGTCGCAGTGCAAGTGTATCAACATCTGAAAGCTACATTGGGTTGTAATGGCTTTGCACCAATTTCAACTGAAGTAACAGTGAAGTAAGTTACTTAAAGTAACTACTTCACACTATGCAAGTCCCCAAGTCAAAAGCCCAGAATACCTTTTCTAGACTTTCCATAAACAGGAATACTGCCACCATTCCCTCTTCACAAAGGATGCAGAGAGGAAGGCAGAACTAGACTGACCTATTGCTGAAGAGGCGCAGGCATCAGTGAGGTAGAGGCTACTGTTGCATTTGGTCCCAAAGCAGTTTTACCATTTTTTGAAATGCTATCATTACGCATTCACAATGGATTCATACTGTCTTCCTCACTACATTTATATTCGGCTTTAAAAGGTCATCTTTTGCCCAGGCAAATATTTCAAATGCAAAATCAAAAAGATGACTTCAGAAGGCTTCCCTCACTCTTGCTGCAGCCAGAAGTGAAACACAGCAAGCAATACAGATCAATGTAACATTACACTTGAATTTTTAAATTAGATTTCCTGAAGCAGTTGGAAGGACCTTGCATGCAAGAAGAGAGATTCCTAATCAATGTCATTTTTATTAAATAAAGCTTTATTATATTTTATTACTTTCTCTACTCTTAGTCTATTGGAATTAATAATCCTCAGTTTTTAATGAATGAATCCTCAGTTTTTAATGGATTGCTTCCATTGTCCTAATTTTGGCAAACCCCAAGAACCCCAAGACAAATGCCAAGCTCTCCTGTTCAGCTAGGGGATGGGGGGCATCTGGTTGTGAGTTTTGCTACTCCTCCCCTTTGGATCATTTTAGAACTTGATTGTTTTTACAAGAATATGTTTCCCAGTTAACTAACAACATTATAATAAAAAATGATAAAAAGCATGGATTCTAACCACTTTATCCTCCTTTGGGAAAGCATCCAAGGAAGCAGAATAAAAAGAGAAAAGAAAAAAAGAAGAGAAAAAGAACAAAGTAGGCAAGTATTAATAGGCAGATTTCAGAGAAATGCAATTCTAACAAACTCTCTACAAAGAGCTAAAAATGTAAGATTAAAAAAAGAGCTTTAAATAAAAGGATTACACCATTGAATATGTATAAAACATATATCCCACCCAAACACATAGTATGATCAAAGTATGAACAATATAACAAACAATATAGAGGTTACAAATGAATGGAAACTTTCACAGTTTCCATTTCTGGGACTTTCAAGAGAAAATGAAAAATAATTAAAATATGTTCAATTTCTTTCTGAGCAAACGGCTTGATACACTCCAATTAATATTATAAGCTAATACAGCAAAGTAAACAAGATTTCACAGACTTGTTCTAATGATACCACCTGCAGGTGATACAATATAATGCAACTACTTAGCTTAAAATATGAATATATCAGCGTTTCACCCATCACACCTACGTGACTTTTTCAGGAAGTTAATTTAACTTAATTCACTCATAAGAACATAGGGATTACGGAAAGCTCACAAAATGAAAATAAAATGGTATTTTTATGAGTCATTTTATTTTGATTTATATTAAATTTCAGAAGCCATTATTCAATTAATTTTCAGACCCCCCCAAAAATGTCAAAATATCATAGACTAGTTCTCTGGCCAATATGGTTATCTGCTGTAGATTTCACAACCAATCGCTTTTTACTCTATTTGTTCAGATACAAAAAGGTGAGCTTCCCATACAAAAGACTGGCATCTCAAGCTCTCTGAAAAAAAAGTTATCCCATGATAGTTAACAAAGTATTCATACAGTATAACAGTATTTGTAAAATGTTTTATAACAGACCATGGTACTAGATGATGAGCCAAAAATAAACACTGGATATTGGCCTTCCAAATAGAGGGTCTATGAACAGTGTACAAATGAAGAGTCAGTTTCTTGTAACGGGCTGCCTGGGTGGAGGCTATGCCAGGTCAGCCTTCAGTTTTGCGGACACTTATTGCAGCTAACTGCATGCAAGTCAGAGGGAGAAAGATTAATCATCTCACCTGCCTTGAAGTGCGATACTTAGTCCAGATTAATCTGTAGTTTCACTTTTAAATTAAATTAAAAATATACGGGTATTACACTCTCAGTTTGGTTAAGAAAGATTCTTTTCCTAACAAGAAGAGGACTGATAAGAGAAATCTAAAAACATACGTGAAAAAGTTTTTTAAAGAGATACAAAATAAGAGTACAATCAGAGCTTCTCAATATGGAGTTTTAACTCAACAAATGGTCTTTTTCTTTCATTCTAGCTGAATGTTTCCTTCACACATCACTCAATACAACCTATACTACATATTCTCTTATTTTAATTAACTCTTTGTTAATCCTGCATCTCCACAATTATTAAACACATGATTCCCTCTATATCTACCTCAAAAAACTGACGAATGAAATGTTCTAGTAAAATGAAGCATGGAATGACAAACCTACTTAAAATGAAAAAACTATAGTTTGACAATGCCAAGAAGACTTTTTATTAAGAGCATATGTCAGTACACTTACATTGTTTGATCGTAGAGAGACACGACCTCCACATCGAGCACAAAACTTGGTCCGGCAATAAGAGCATAAATGGCCACAACCATCTGCAAACTTTGTTTTATGACAGATTCCACATGTTGGAGCATCATCCTTGTGCTCTCCCTGGTAACGGCGAGCTTCTTCCCCTATCTTTCTTACTTGTTCTTTATAGCTTTCAAATTGCTGATGCAACCTCCTGCATAGATAAGAAAAAAGTTTATATAGCAAGAATGGAAGGAAACACAATTACTGTATATTTCTTTCTTCCAATTTACAACTAAGCCTAATATTCTCGCACATTTCATCTCATAGCAAATACCCACTGCATCTGGAAGACTGCAACAGGATATATGTATTCATATTAGATTTACTTAAAAGATGGTGAGAAAAACATTTCACTTGAACAGAAACTGATACAACTATGCAAACAGGGCCAAAATTGCACAGTTTTATGTAAAAGTGTCTAAAATGTACAAAATAAAAGCTAAAATATAACTGCCTCAAGTTTTAATCATCATTATTTTATTTATACAGCAAGCACAATCAAAAATTATAACCAAGCTTCAGTTAGTTAGGTAATACCGTCTCAGAGAAGAGTGTGTTCTCTACTTGTTGCTATGAGACTCATCCCTCACAACAGTTTCAGATGCAGCATTTAATCTACATCTCCATAGATAACATCAAAAATCCAAGAACATCTAAATAGCTTATTAATAGAAACAGGGAGTCTTGAGTTTAATAAATGATAAGAGTAGGTGTGCTGTCTATAGAAGTCTTGATCATATCCTTCATCTCCACCTGCTTTGAACTACCTACTCCATTAATTAGCCCTGAGATTCAAACCATTTAACCAATGCATGTCTAGTCAGAGAATTCTACATTTGTGCAGGGATTTATTTTTTGGTGGTGGACTTGTTTCAAGTTTTGTGATACAAGTAATCAGTGGTAGTAAGTCATATACAACCAACATTTCCTCTAAATACTGTTTTGGTGAGGTGAGTATTTTTACTTTATAATGATAGTCAAGCTTAGAAAATGGTAATTAAAATTTCCAAACAGGGATATGGATCCCATACACATATTCAGTTTGAAAAGGAATATCATTGCTCCTAATTTTATAAATCAATCAACTCTCACACTAAAAATAATGACTTTACTGGGACATCACTCCTCTGAGGACACAGAAATAGTAAGAGGCAAAGCAAGGAAGCCAAGTATTCTATTCTTTTTCGCTACAGACGTGATGTATTATATTTAGTGCTTTATGCTAATGAAAAACTTGGCAAGAGTAGCTATTTTGTTTTGCTTTGCTTTTGTTTTTGCTAACCTGCTCGAGAAATATTTACTAGTCTTGGTGAGACAAGGAAAGTGGGTCAAAAGAATTACAGAAAATACTGAGGAATCTTAGTAGCACATTATTGGATTACATATATGGTTACTTCTTTGGAAGCTACCTACTTAAAATGTATATAAACAACTGAAAATATTCAGGAATGCATATATTAACCAACTAAAGGAATGTATTTAAACAACAGAAAAGTCTATAGGTAAAATTCTTATTTTATCAAATGTCTTCTTCAAAGATGGCACCATGGAAACTAAATTTACTTCTCCTCCAGTGAAGTAAGATACGCAAGCTCTGACTCTACTAATATGACATAGCGAAGATAACAGATAGCACAACATCCATTCCTTTTTTTTTCTTCTATAAGGCAATGTATATCTGGATTTTTTTTGGATCTCATGTGAAGTTCAGAAAGTGTATTGAATACAATAGTATCTTGTCCTTCTGTGTAGACCAAAGGGCAGACCAATGAAATTGAACAAGGCCAAGTGCAAGGTCCTGCACCTGGGGAGGAATAACCCCAGACACCAGTACAGGCTGGGGACTGTCCTTCTGGAGGGCATCTGGAGTACTGTGTCCAGTTCTGGGCTCCACAGCACAAAAGGGATGTGGAGGTGCTGGAGAGAGTTCAGCGCAGGGCCACAAGGATGATCAGGGGCCTGGAACATCTGCCCTATGAGGAGAGGTTGAGGGAGCTGGGCCTGTTCAGCCTGGAGGGGATCTGATGAGTGTCTATAAGTACCTCAAGGGAGGCAGTGAGGAGGATGGTGCTGGCCTCTTTTCACTGGTGGCCACTGATAGGACTAGAGGTAATGGCCACAAACTAAAACACCAAAAGTTCCACAGGAACTTAAGGAAAAATTTCTTAACAGTGAGGGTGACAGAGCACTGGAATAGGCTGCCCAGAGAGGTTGTGGAGTCTCCTTCTCTGGAGATCTTCAAAACCCGCTTGGACGCAGTCCTGTGCCATGTGCTCTAGGTGACCCTGCGTGTGCAGGGGGGTTGGACTAGATGACCGCTAGAGGTCCCTTCCAACCTTAATGATTCTATGATTCTATGATTCTATCATTCAATGTGCTACTAGCTAAGCAAAATTTAACTGAAAACAGAATTTATTTGTTTATAAAAAACCTTACTTACTAATATTAAAATAAAGAAAGAATCCTATCTAATCTGTGTGAAGTTCAACTACTACTGAACCATCTTTCTCACCTGTCTGAGGAAGGTTTGAATATCTGCATATGAAAAAGTTTAATAGTAATTTGACTTTAAAAGTGAGAAATACTGTAGGAGCAGAAGATGGCCAGAGGAAACAAAGCACTGAAAGTGTATTCTTCTTGAAGTTTTTCATACACAACAGAACACAGGTTAACTATAAAATCTAATTCACTATATTTTCACAGAAATGTTAAAGTCTCTTTCCAGGTTTATCATGTAACGTTACTGTGATAAATACAATTCAATTCAGCATTTATCTTTAAAATCTTGACCAGTAGAAAACTACACTTTGTTTTTACTGAAACATTAATATTTATGTTTGAAATCAGCATCTTTTACACATTTTGCCAAATCTATAATTTAAAATAGAAAACAGAAAATATTTTAACTAAGAAAATGCTTTTCAACAATATTATTTTGTAAAATCTTTTTATTGTTGACTTTTTGTTGGTAAGGACCAAAATGGAGAGTATATCAAAGCTAACAATCATTCCTGTTATTCGACTTAAATGTCTTTGACTTCAAACCACTAATTTTTGATCCTATGCAAAAGATAAAGCATTCATTTATTTTCTTCTTGAAACCAGAAGGTTAAAAAACCCTGAATCTACCAGCAGCTGTTGCATAAGAAAATGACTCAAAACTGTCAACGATACAAAATTTGAACTCACTAGAAAAACATGCAGCCAGGTATAAATGTAGGAAAAGGTTGAAATACTCTTGAGTTAAATAAAGCTTAAAATTATTTTAAGCTATTCACCTATAGCTAATAAAATTGAAAATATTTTAATAATGCTGTGGAACCAGACTCCTTGTCTTTTTTTTTTTCTTTTTTTTTCTCCTTATTCTAGTACATTTCTTGCTTAAAGAATAATAGACAAGTTTCTAACGCTGTAATGTTTCTGTAGAATAAAACATACATACATTGGGTACCTCCAGCAGCACCTTTTTACCAAATTTATGTTTGAAACTTCATCCTCCACCAGAAACACGTGTGCCTCTGCCCTTGGATCCATCCAGATCACTAAGAACATAATCAGAGATTTCAGTACTGCTTCTCCTTTTATTTTACAGTAAAGCTATTTACCAGGCAGGAAAGACCTCTCCACACATTGTATTAAAACAATTCCCCTCTTCATGAAGAAATAGTAACAAAAATATCCATAAAAACAATAGTGTATTTGAGAATTTAGCAGACAGAAGTCAGGATGTTTGAAGAACAGCTTCCCCCAACACCTCCATTGCTGCACTACACTAGTGCAGACCTCACAGCTGTGTCTCTTGGTGAGGGCACCTGGTGCTTCAGCTTGAACAAGACATCTGCTGCTGCGAAAATTCAAGGAGAGGTTGAGCAGCTTGGCAAGGTGCATCCCAGCCCCACTGTGGCGTGACTCCACTTCCGGACTCCAGGCGCCAGCCGTAGTACTTCACTGCACGTGCATGTTAGGTGGTACCAGCACTGGTAGTGCAAAACAGGAAATAATGGACAATACTCACGCCTCCAGTGAAACACGCTTGCTCTACAAGGCATATTAAGGTTATGGATTTTTTTTTCAAGAAAACTTGGTGGGTTGGTTCTTGGTGGGTTCCAAAAAAACTTGGTGGGAACAAGCACTTCGCAAAAACACTTCCATAGCTATATGCCAAGGATATACCATATTTTCATTTAAATGTGTGTTATTTCACATGAAAATGTGAAAATGCTGAAAAATACTACAGACATGCAATTCTGCAAAGTTTTACTCATGTCTTCATGGGCTTATTAAAAACCTTAAGTCCTTGAGGATACTCATGTACGTAAGCACCTTGCACACTTTAACACTTCAGAACGTTCATCTGCATCATCATTCAGGCAGTCAATGAATGCTGAGATAATCTGTAATTCTTACTGAGAAAGTAACAAGTCAATCCACAAAGAAATTTCTATATTTTATACATGTATATTTTTATACATAAAGATTCAAAAGCAACAAAATGGTGCACTTTCTTATGCATGAATTTTCTGCACAGATTTTCTAAAAATGTCAAGGATTTGGGTCACCCATATGCATACTCACATCTTAAATGATTTTTTGCATTATGAAACTTTGTGTCTTAGTTGCTTGAAAATCCAGCAGATGGCACTAAAGGTTGCATTTTCAGTCTGTCTCCCAGCTCAATTTAAACGATTTAATCTCATAATCTTGATCATGAAATATACTATAATACAAATATTATTAAGTCTCATCATGGATCCATCTTACTAGAAAAAGCGCCTTCTCCTAAGTGATACAGCCATAAGAAATCTACTGGCAGCTACGGCATATATGAAAAAAGTTATTTAAAAACGCAGTACTTTCCCCGTTCACACATGCCGTATATACACATAATCACAGGGAACTCTTTTGTTTTTCATAAAATCATTGGTACTTTTATCAAATTCTACTCTTACCTCAAATTAAACAACGAAACATAGCTTAAGAATGAAAACTCTACTTCTATGCA